CGCCCGAGCCTAGCACTACGGCGGAGCAGCAGCGGCATCCACTCGAAGCGTGAGGCCGATAAAGTCTGGCTCGCCGCGTGCCGGCTCGAGCCCAGCGGTGGACACCTTGTCGGCCGTGCTCACTGCGTTGATACGCGTGGCAAGGACCAGACCCATCGCTCCCGACGTGGGCGATGCGAACGGCGGCGCGAGCACTCCGAAGCACTTCCTGTACCAGTCCGCGGGCGCCTGCTCCCCCCGGCTCCCCTTTTGCTTCACACGCGCAAAGATGTACGTTGGGCGCGGAAGAGCGGCTGCGAGGAAAGTTAGTCCCTCGCGCAAGGCTCGGCCGCGCCCCTGTCTGAAAGGTTGCGCTGCAGCGAGCATGCGCACGTCGAAAAGGTAGCAAGGCGGAAGGAGCAGGTCGCCCACGACGCAGGCTGCACGTGCGAAACACTTTGATAAGTGCAGCCGCGCGACGTCAGCGTCCGAGTAGTGGAGAGCCTCGTCCACCGCAAAGGTCTGGACTGTGCATGCAGCGACGATGTCGAGGCTTCCGTCCGCCCCGACCACGCAAACCTCCACCGACAGCGCTCCTGCATCTGCCCACGCGTCAATCTGTTTCGGCGGGTAGCTGACCTTGGCCGCCTTAAAGATCTGCGAGACCTGGCCGACTGCCGCCGTGAGCGGGCGCACACGCAGCACGAGGCCGTCCCCAAACGCGTCCTCGCGCGCGGGGAGGAGGTTGGAGGCGCGCATCAAACCATGCCCCGGAGCAGCGGGTGCTGCAGGTGCGGCGGGAACGGCGCGAACGGCGCCAGAAGACGCGGCGCCGTTTCCGGCGGGAACGGTGCCAGAAGACGCGGCGGACGCGACGGTGCTGCCCACCCCATCGCCCGCCCCGCCGCCCGCCCCACCGCCGCCCGCGCCGTCCGCCCTACCGCCGCCCGCGCCGCCCGCCCCGCCGCCAACACCGCCTGGAGGGACTGCCGTCCCGAGGTGCTCCTGGACACCGTCCTCCTCGCCCTCCGCCGCAGCCTCGCCGCCGCCCGCCCCCGCCCTCGGCGACGCCTCCTCCTAGTTCGAGCGGGCAAGGGCGAGTCTCGGGGGTGTCTCGGACGTGTCCCGTGGACGTGTCTCGGAAGTGTCCGCGCCGTGGTGTCGCCCGCGTTGCAGCCCGCGACCGCCGCCTCATCGTCGTCGGCCTCGGACACCGCCGCCGCCGCCGCCGCCGCCGCCGCCGCCGCCGCCGCCGCCGCCGCCGCCGCCGCCGCCGCCGCCGCGCCACGCGTCTCATGGCTTGTTGCGCAGGAGGACCCCGGCGAGACAGCCTCCACGCTGCTCTCCACTGCAGCTGCAGCCTCGCCACCACGCTGGAAGTGGCTCTCCTCCTCGCCGCCACCGCTCCACCCGCCCTCCTCGCCGCCCTCCTCCTCGCCGCCTGCTCCGTCGCCCTCCTCCGCCGCCGCCGAGCCTGCCGCCCCCGCCTGCCCGACACACTTCGCGTAAGCCACCGCCGCCTCCACAGCCGTGTGGAAGGAGCCCAAGTACTTCTGCCCGCCGCGTCCCTGCCCTCTGCCCGACTGCGCCTTGAAGCGGCCAGCAGTGTACTCGATTACGCCTAAGTAGCCGGTGCTGCTGCTGCTCGAGAGGTGCAGCTGCAAGCCCTCCGCCTCTGTCGCCACCGCCGGAGGAGGGGGACGCGGGTACTCGCCGACCGCCCGCGCGTACGCCACCGCCGCCTCCACCGCCGTGTCGAAGGTTCCGAGGTAGACATCCTTGCCGCGCACCCAGTGGCACGCTTGGAAGCGGCCAGAGGGAACCTGCGACACTCCCCTGTAGCCGGTGCTGCTGCTGCTCGAGAGGTGCAGCTTCAGCCCCTCCGCCTCCGCGGCTGGAGCCACAGCCGCCGCGGCGCCCTCCTGGCGCTGCCCACGCCCAGCAGCCACCGCGTCCGCCTCGTTCGCCCGGTCGATCAGCTCCTGCTGGTGCGGGAGCAGCGCCTGGTCGCCGGGCGGCACCCACCTCCACTCGTCCTCGTCGGTCACCCACTCCCTCCGCACGTACCCGTCGAGCTTGACCCGCAGCCCCTTTCGCATGTCGACAGAGACAACCTCGCCGCGGTACGGCACCGACACCAACTGCTTGCCCTGCCGCTCCTCGTACGAGACCTGCACGCGCAGCCCGATGGCGGCGCGGCGCGAGTACCCGCGCAAGTCGATCACATCCTCGAGCCGGCCCTCGTCGTCGTCGTCGTCGTCGTCGCACTCGTCCTCCTCCTCCCCCCCGTCCTCCTCCTCCCTGTCCCACGCGCGCGCGCCCTCGTCGAGGCGCTGCCGCGGCGCGCCGCGCCGCTGCCCCGCCGGGACGCAGGGGAAGCGGACGTGATCCTTGGGCTCGTGGTACGGCTGGCCGCCGCCGCCGCTCGCCTCGCTCTCGCCCGCGCTCTTTCCTTCCTCGATCTTGACGCCGACCTCGCCGCCCACCTCACCGCCAGTCTCGAGCTTGCCGGCGGCGGCGGAGGCGGCCTCACCTGCCCTGCCACCCTCCTCTGTCGCCACCGCCGGAGGAGGAGACGCGACGGTGCTGCCCGCCCCGCCGCCCGCCGCGCCGCCCGCCCCAGGGGCGCCTACGCCGCCCGCCCCGACGCCGACACCGCCGCCCGCGTTGCAGCCCGCGACCGCCGCGGCGGCGTGGCTCAGGAAGGCGGGCGACCGCCTCGGCGGCAGCCTCGAGTTTGAGTCTGAGCTGGCGCCTCCTCGCTCGCTTTCGAGCCGCCTCCCGTTTTCGAGCAGCCTCCAGCGGTTGCGGACAGACGAGTCGGAGCGGCCGGGCAGCGAGGCGGCGATCTGTCTCCACTTGAAGCCGTGCTGGCGCACACCCTCGCGAATAATCGCGTCCTCCTCTGTCGCCCACATGGTGCGCCCGTCGACGGCATTCTTCTCATCCTCGTCGAGCGACACGAGCGGGTCGGACGGCGGCACCTCCGGGTTGAGCGTCCGCCCGACCCGAAAGCGGACCTGTGGGCGGGGAGATGGGCATCTGTGCGCGGGGCGCCGGGACACGGGGGAATGGAGTTGTTGCGGACCTGCCCGCTGGGCGTGAGCCACTCGAGCGAGGGGGTGAGCGGAAGGTGGACGAGGTTCGGGAGGGGCTCTGAGCACTCGTCCTTCAAAATCACCAGCCGTGGCCCGCTTGACTCGCGAGTCTGGTTGACGACGCGATACGGCGGCCATGGCGAGTCGGTGGTCGGGCTGTTCCACACGCCTCCCGTGCTTTGGTTCGCAAGCTCGCTCATCGGACCGACCGGCACTCGCACCCGCGTGGTCGGGACGAGCACGCCTCGCGTGCGGCAAACGGTGCAGAAATGCTCTCGAAACGCGCCCGTGTTCGAAGGCACGGCCTCGCAATCTGACGAGCCGCCCATGATGCTGCCCCAGCACACGGCCGTGCCCCCACCCTCCTCGAGCGGCAGGGGCGACAGAGCCTCGTCCTGCGGGGAGGTGTGGGGAGGTGTGGGGAGGTGTGGGGAGATGTGGGGAGATGTGGGGAGATGACGGTCCACGCCGCCGCCGCCTAACCGACGCCAGGTACTGGGCGGGACGGAGGTGTGGGCCCAACGGGCCTGGGGTGCTAACTCTAACTCCCCCCCCCTCTCTCTTTTTCCCCCCCCCCCCCCTCTCCCTCCCTCCCTCCCCCCTCCCCCCCCCCTCTCCCCCCCCCCTCCCTCCCTCCCCCCCTCCTTCCCTCTCCCCCCTCCCTCCCTCCCTCCCTCTCTCCCCACGCCGCCACACCTCTGCATCACGCCGGCCCGCCTCCTCGGCCGCCCCCGCCGGTGCCCCAGCCTCCTCTGCCAGCGCCCCCGCCGCCGCCGTCGCCGCCTTCTGCCCCTCCGCGACCGCCCGCGCGTACGCCACCGCCGCCTCCACCGCCGTGCCAAAGGAGCCGAGGTAGGCCTCCTTGCGCACGCCGGCGAGGTAGACGCGCGCTCGGTAGCGGCGGCCGTCTGCGGTGGCGTAGACGCCCTTGTACCCTGACGCGCGGGGGTTCGGGTACCGTGGGGGTAGGGGATGCGGAGAGGCGCGTGGGGGGGAGGGGGGGGGGGGGGGCTACACACGACGGGGATGCGGAGAGGCGCGTGAGGGAGCAGGCCATGGGCGCTCGGGTTCGGGTACCGTGGGGGTAGGGGAATGGGTGCGTGAGGGTAGGGGACTGGGCAAATCGTGTGTGTGTGTGTGTGCATGCGCGCAAACCGGTGCCGCCGTCCGAGAGGTGCAACTGCAGCCCCTCCGCCTCGCTCACCGCCGCCGCCTTGCCCGCCGCCTCGCCCGCCGTGGGGCGAGCCGCCGGAGCGGCGGGGCCCCCGGAAGGCAAGGGCAGCGCGTCAATCGGCGGGGGCGCAGCGTCCCTCGAGGAAAACGGCGCCTCCTCCCCAACCCGCAGGAGCGACGAGCCGCGCGCGTACACAAGGTCCTCGCCGTGCGTCTTGACAATCCTGCCCCCGGAAAGGGGGGGGGGGGGGGGGGCCTTAAATTCCCGAAAAATTGGCCAAATTCCGGCCCGGGGGGAAGGGGGAAACATTGGTAAGGGGGTCCCCCCGGGTGGTGTTGGGTTTGCCGGGAATGGCGTTCCCCCCATTACCCCCAGCCCGGGTCAACAATGCCCCCAACCAAAACAATAAACCCTTCTTTGAGCCCCCCCCCCTCGAACCCAATTTGAAATTCCCCAAACCGGGCCCATGGTTCTTTGCCCCCCCCCCCCCCCCGGGTTGCCAATCCCCCCCC